TCCTTCTTCGCAACCTCTCTAAGACTTCATCGTTGCTCATATGCTCGGTCCATGATATCCTTAGCATCCTTCTGTAGAACCACATCTCTGTTGCCTCGAGTTTCTTCTTCATCCTTGAGGACATTTTCCAGCATTTGCTGTCTTAAAGAAGAACAGATGTCAAGTAACAGCTTAGTATTCTTTTCTTTGTTACCAAAGAAATCCTCCCGCTTTGCAATACTCTGCCCAGCTTTTGGAATGCGTCCTTGGCCATCTCAATACAACTACGGATCTCATTGTCTTACTTACTGTCCTTTGTCAAAAGATTTACCAGATATTTAAACATCCGCGTCCGCTTGATTCTACTTTCCCCGACCTGTAAATCGCATGTCGGGCTCATCCTCTTACTGATGACCATGTATTCTGTCTTCTTGTAGTTTATGCCTAGTCCTTTCTTCTCACTCTCCGTCGCTACCTTCTGTAGGAGGTTTTGTAATTTCTTTTCCGGGTCTGCTATCAGCACTGTGTCGTCTGCTTATCTTATGTTGTTAAGGTTGTGACCGCCAATGCTAAATCCCGGTAGGGTTTCCAATTCTCTCAGGATTGCCTCGCTTTATAGGTTGAACAGGTCCGGTGAGAAGACGCATCCTTGCCGTACGCCCCTTTTTTGCTGTCTTGTAATATTCTGCCTAACTTTTGGAATGCATCTTTGACAATTCCAATACGTCTTCGGATCTCAGCATCACACTTACCGTCCTCTGTCAAAACACTTCCCAGATATTTAAATTTCCGCATGTGCTTGATTTTAGTGTCCCCGACATATAATTTGCATTTTGGGCTCATCCTTTTGCTGATGACCACGCATTCTGTCTTCTTGCAGTTTATGCTTAGTCCTTTCTTCTCACTCTCCGTCGCTACCTTCTGTAGGAGGTTTTGTAATTTCATTTCCGTGTCTTCTGACAGTACTGTGTTATCTGCGTATCTTATATTGTTGAAATTGAAGCCGCCAAGGTTAGCTAATCATAATCAGATAAATATTTCAAACCAGGTTTCAAAGGCGGGTTAAACAGACTGTATGTTTGTTCGTTTGGTGGAATTTCAAGGTAGATGTTGCACTTTGAGCTTGCCCCACACTGAACTTCAGGCCCAACAACTGCAACGAGTATTTGATGATTTCGAAGCCCGATATCCGGGACTGATCAGTCGAAGAGGCGCGCTCCTTCTGCGTGGCAATGCCCCAGTTCACGCTGTCAGTGCCAACAAGCACAGACTTTAAGAACTTGAGAGAGTGAACGAGCTGCCACGACCTACCTTCAGTTCAGACCTCACACCATTACCTGGGATATGGCTCACATCCCGTGCGGAAGGAGGTTCAACAATATAGATGAGCTGAGGTTGTTTTCGGTCTCTAAATCAGACAAATTGTATACGCCTGGAATTCGGCTTCTGATACAACGAAGGCAACAGACAATAAAATTTAATAATATACCGTTTGATGAAGAAAACCTTTTCGTATGCAATTTGTTTGAACTATTAATTAAAGCTTAAAATGCGAAACGGCTTTTGACACAGCTTAGTAAAAGCAAAACTAACCTTAGTATACTTATCAGTTTCAAACTATTCATATATATTTCCATCAGAATGATCAATATTTTATTATATATGTAAGCGTGGATGGCTGAGTACTTATAACGATAGGATTTAGACAATACAACCCGGGTTCGAATTTCATAATTGTCAATTTTCCACGACGGACAATTCTCAATGTTATCAACCTAGGAATAGGACGCTAGGAAGCGAACACTTGGTATTGGGTTCAAATCTGGTTAGCGAAATAAGCTAGACGCAGATATTTCGAAAGTACTTGAGGATATGCTAGCATGAATTCATAAGTCATCGTGATCGAGGTTTTTAGCGTACTGGACATGTTTAAACTGATGATTACGTCTGATTATACACACTTTCCCAGAAACTATTACTGTAGGCTGCGTTCGAGGGGAAATAAAAAAAAAAACATATCTGCATGAGCAGGCATCTACAAAATGGTTTGGTTAGCAGCAGAAGTAGGTGGGAATTCATTGAAGGTGTAGTCAGTTTCCTCACCTGTTATATCGGTGTCTCAATTTTTAGTACCTATCTATCTATGATCATATGCATGTATGTATCTGCATCTCAAACAATCTATCTATTAATCTAGTTTTGATAATATTCATCTATCTATCTATCTATATATCTTAGTATGCTCATATCTATCTATCTATATATATATATATCTTAGTATGCTCATATCTATCTATCTATCTATATATCTTTGTATGCTCATATCTATCTATCTATATATCTTAGTATGCTCATATCTCTATATATATATATATATATATATATATATATTATGCTCATATCTATCTATCTATCTATATATCTTCTTAGTATGCTCATATCTATCTATCTATATATATATCTTAGTATGCTCATATCTATCTATCTATCTATATATATATATATCTTAGTGTGCTCATATCTATTTATCTATCTATCTATATATATATCTTAGTATGCTCATATCTATCTATCTATATATCTTAGTATGCTCATATCTATCTATCTATCTATATATATATATCTTAGTATGCTCATATCTATCTATCTATCTATATATATATATATATATATATATATATATATATATATATATCTTAGTATGCTCATATCTATCTATCTATCTTTGATCATATGCATGTATGTATCTGTATATCTATCTATCTATCTACATTCACACATATAATATGTATATATGAATATATATATATATATATATATGTATTTATATTTATATATATATATATATATATATATATATATATATATACATGTTTATATATGTTTATATAAATATACATACATATATATATATATATATATATATATATATATATATATATATATATATATATATACACACATAAATATATATACATATAATCTCATAGATCAAATTGTGTCTTTGTTTATACACATAAACAGACATGTTTATATATATATATATATATATATATATATATATATATATATATATATATATATATAGCGCAGTTACTACCAATCTTACTACCTTTCTTTCTCATCTGTTAAAAAAAAACAATATACATTTTTCCGTCCAAATCTCTCTATTTATCGATCGATCTATCTGGGAATCTATAATTCACTCGGCGAACAAAATTATTGCACGAATTCGGTCCAATATTTTACAGTAAAATGTGCCATATGTGGAAGTAATACCCACGTGTTTAGTTAATTACATTACGGAAGAAACATATGCTGAAAAATAAATAACTGCGGAGTTTTAAATAAATGCTTATCTATATCTATCTGATTATAATGCATATATTGACAACACTTGTGTTTTACTTAATTTACTGAGGTTTTCTTCTTATTGACAACCAGAAAGATTGTGCAAAAAATTCCTTTTATTAAATTTGGTCTTGTTTCGTAGAAGAAAACAGCTGTTTTATTCCAGTGGTTTCAATCAACATGCATCAATTTCAAGAACGGATCTTGAAATTCGAGTTTCGTTTTCTATCTATCTATCTGTCTGTCTGTCTATCTATCTATTCACCTCATCCTTTACATTATCTATGTCTGTATGTCTTTATCTCTGTCTATCTATCTATTCACCTCATCCTTTATATTATCTATGTCTGTATGTCTTTATATCTATCTATCTGTATGTCCTTTATCTTATCTATGTCTATCTATCTCTGTTCATCTATCTAATCATCTATCTATCTATTCATCCTTTATATATCTATGTCTATCTATCTATCTATCTATTTCCTTTATCTCTGTCATCCATCTATCTATCTATCTATCTCTATGTATGTATCTATCTATCTATCTATCTATCTATTATTCACCTCATCCATTACATTATCTATGTCTGTATGTCTCATCTATCTGTCTATCTATCATCTATTCACCTATGTCTGTATGTCTTTATCTCTGTCTATCATCTCTATCTATCTATCTATCTATTCTCCTTTTCTATATCTATGTCTTTATGTCTTCTATCTATCTGTCTGTATCTATCTATCTATTCATCCTCATCCTTTATCCTTTTTATCTATGTCTATGTCTTTATCTCTGTCTATCTATCTATCTATCTATTCACCCTCATCCTTTACATTATCTATGTCTATGTTCTTTATCTCTGTCTTCTATCTATCATCTATTCTATCCTTTACATTATCTATGACTGTATGTCTTTATCTCTGTCTATCTATCTATCTATCTATTCACCTCATCCTTTACATTATCTATGACTGTATGTCTTTATCTCTGTCTATCTATCTATCTATCTATCTATCTATTCACCTCATCCTTTACATTATCTATGTCTGTATGTCTTTATCTCTCTATCTATCTATCTATCTATCTATCTATCTATTCACCTCATCCTTTACATTATCTATGTCTGTATGTCTTTATCTCTGTCTATCTATCTATCTATCTATCTATGTATCTATCTATCTATCTATCTATTCACCTATCCTTTATCCTATCTATTCTGTATGTCCTCATCCTCTTTCACATTATCTATGTCTGTATGTCTTTATCTCTGTCTATCTATCTATCTATCTATTCTCATCCTTTATTATCTACTGTATGTCTTTATCTCTGTCTATCTATCTATTCTATTCACCTATCCTTGCTGTACATTATCTCTGTATCTCTTTATCTCATTATCTATCTATCTCTATCTATTCACCTCATCCTGTTACTATCTATGTCTTTATGTCTTTATCTCTATCTATTATCTATCTATCTATCTATTCATCTATTCACCTCATCCTTTACATTATCTATGTCTGTATGTCTTTATCTCTGTTATCATCTATATCTATTCTATGTCATTATCTATGTCTGTATTTCTTTATCTCTGTCTATTCATCTATCTATCTATCTATCTATTCACCTCATCCTTTACATTATCTATGTCTGTATATGTCTATTCATCTATCTTTCTATCTATTCTATCCTTTACATTATCTATGTCTGTATGTCTTTTCTAAATCTATCTATGTTCATATCTATCTATCTATCTATCTATCTATTCCTCATTCCTTTACATATATGTCTGCATCTCTTTGTATCTATCTATTCATGTTCTATCTCTCTAAATATGTTCATATCATGTATCTATCATCTTGATCATTATCTCTGGCTTTTATCATCTCTGTATTCACTTCATCTTGATCATTGTCTGGCTATCAGTCTGTCTATCTATCTATCTATTTGCATAATTATCTTTCTAAAAATGTTTATCTGTTCATATCTATCTATCTATTCAAAAATAGATTATGTTCCCATTTTGAAATTCATTAATCAATTTCAACAATTGTCTCTGAGATCATTCTACTTGTAAATCCTTTTTGACATGTCGCTTATAAAAATGTAAGCGTGTTTGTATATTTTCTGCTTTGGGGCTTATTATTTATGTCATGCATTCAATCCATGGCTGAAACATATTTTATCTTCAAGCGTTCGCTCTTTTTTTTGTTTTCAGAATTTTCGGGGGATTATCTACTTAGCACACGAAGCCATAATATTAATCCTAATAGACAAGACCAAATACCCATTACTTTGTACTAAATGAAAACTTATTTATGTGTATATCGGAAGTGTGTGGACACCGAATTGTATTGTGTGCATGATTGTTTTCTATGGATTCCTTAGGTTATGACGTGAATATATTTCTATTTATAAGATATCAATGAATATATTTATTGGTTACACAATAAGTAATGTATCTCGTCGGTTAACATTTCATTTCGCTGTAAATCCGTAAGATAAAGATACAAAAGAAAAGAAATCAAAATTTAGACGAAAGAAAAGAAAGGAGGGCAAATAAAAAAAAAAGACGAAGAACGAAAGAATCTATGTGAATATAAATTATATGAAAAAAGAAAAACTAAGAATGTAAAATGAAAAAGAAAAAAGGTACGAAATTAAGCTAAAAAAAAGAAAAAAAAAAGAAAGAAAGAAAGAAAGAAAGAAAGAAAGAAAGTCAATGTTTTGCAAAGAAATGAAAGAGGGAAAAATGAGAAATGAAAAAATGTAGTTGCAAAGAAACAAACGGGATTACAAGCAAAAAAACCTGAAGGAGAAAGAAAGAAAGAAAGAAAGAAAGAAAGAAAGAAAGAAACGGAATTAAGTTATAAAAGAAAGAAAGAAAGAAAGAATAAGAGCAATAAATAAATAAAGAAAGAAAGAAAGAAAGAAAGAAAAAAGAAAGAAAAATAAAGACAGAAAGAAAGACAGAAAGAAAGAAAGAAAGAAAGAAAGAAAGAAAGAACCGGAATTAAGTTATGAAGAAAGAAAGAAAGAAAGAAAGAAACGGAATTAAGTTATAAAAGAAAGAAAGAAAGAAAGAAAGAAACAGAATAAGAGCAAAAGAAATAAAAGAAAGAAAGAAAGAAAAGAAAGAAAGAAAGAAAGAAGGAAAATAAATAAAGAAAGAAAGAAAGAAAGAAAGAAAAATAAGTTAATAAATAAATAAAGAAAGAAAGAAAGAAAGAAAAATAAGAGAAATAAATAAATAAATAAATTAAATAAAGAAAGAAAGAAAGAAAGAAAGAAAGAAAGAAAAGACAATACAGAAATAAATAAAAAATAAATAAAGAAAGAAAATAAAGACAGAAAGAAAAAAAAGAAAGAAAGAAAAATAAAGACAGAAAAGAAAGAAAGAAAGAAAGAAAGAAAGAAAGAAAGAAAGAAAGAAAGAAAGAAAGAAAGTCAATGTTTTACAAAGAAATGAAAGAGGGAAAAATGAGAAATGAAAGAAAAGTAGTTGCAATGGAAATAACGTGATTACAAGCAAAAGACCCTGAAGGTGAAATAAAGAAAGAAAGAAAGAGTGAATGAATGAATGAATGAATGAATAAAAGAAGGAAGGAAGGAAATAAAAAAGAAAGAATGAAAGGAAAACGTGGTATGCTTGAAAAAAGAAAGAAAGAAAGAACGATGAATGAATGAATGAATTAATGGAATTTAATAAGAGAAAGTAAGACAAAAGAAAGTGGGTAAAGAATATATGACGAAAAAATAAAGAATTAATATGCGTAAAAAGTAGAAGAAAGAAAGATAGAAGGCGTTTAATAAGAAAGAAAGAAAGAAAGAAAGAAAGAAAGAAAGAAAAAAGTAAGAAAGAAAGAAAGAAAGAAAAAAAGTAAGAAAAAAGAAAGAAAGAAAAAAGTAAAAAAGAAAGAAAGAAAGAAAGGAAAAAGTAAGAAAGAAAGAAAGAAAGAAAAAAGAAAGAAAGAAAGAAAGAAAAAAGTAAGAAAGAAAGAAAGAAAGAAAAAGTAAGAAAGAAAGAAAGAAAAAGTAAGAAAGAAAGAAAGAAAAAAAGAAAGAAAGAAAGAAAGAAAGAAAGAAAGAAAGAAAAAGAAAAAAAAAAAGAAAGAAAAAGAAAAAGAAAGAAAAAAGAAAGAAAGAAAGAAAGAAAAAAGTAAGAAAGAAAGAAAGAAAAAGTAAGAAAGAAAAAAGTAAGAAAGAAAGAAAGAAAGAAAAAAGTAAGAAAGAAAGAAAGAAAAAAGTAAGAAAGGAAGAAAGAAAGAAAGAAAAAGAAAAAAAAGTAAGAAAGAAAGAAAGAAAGAAAGAAAGAAAGAAAAAAGTAAGAAAAAAAGAAAGAAAGAAAAAAGTAAGAAAGAAAAAAGAAAAAAAGAAAGAAAGAAAAAAGCAAGAAAGAAAAAAGTAAGAAAAAAAGAAAGAAAGAAAGAAAGAAAGAAAAAGAAAGAAAAAAAAAAAGAAAAAAGAAAGAAAGAAAAAAGAAAGAAAAAAAAAAAAGAAAGAAAGAAAAAAGAAAAAAGAAAGAAAGAAAGAAAGAAAGAAAGAAAGAAAGAAAGAAAGAAAAAAGAAAAAAGAAAGAAAAAGAAAGAAAAAAAGAAAGAAAGAAAGAAAGAAAGAAAAAAAAAGAAAAAAAAGAAAGAAAGAAAAAAGTAAGAAAAAGAAAAAAAAAAAAAAGAAAAAAAAAAAAGCAAGAAAGAAAAAAGTAAGAAAGAAAAAAGTAAGAAAGAAAGAAAGAAAGAAAAAAGTAAGAAAGAAAGAAAGAAAGAAAGAAAGAAAAAAGTAAGAAAGAAAAAAGTAAGAAAGAAAGAAAGAAAGAAAGAAAAAGAAAGAAAGAAAAAAGTAAGAAAGAAAAAAAAGGCTGAAAGAAATATACACCTTAAGAAACGAAAAAGAAGACCTACATAAAAAAAAAAAAGATATAAAGTAAGAAAGAAAAAAAACGAATGGATGGAAAGAATGCAGTCAGAAAGAAAGAAAAAGAAAATTTGTAAAAAATACACAAAGAAAGAAAAATGTGGAATGGAAGGAAACAAGAATAAAAGATAGAAAAAAGAAAGAAATGGAGAATAAAAAGGAAATGAAGGAACGAATACACAAAAAAGAAAGAAAAAAAAAAGAAAAAATATATAAAAGATAAAAAGCATGTAATAAGAAAGAAAGAAAGAAAGAAAGAAAGAAAGAAAGAAAGAAAAGAGAACGAAAGAAAGAAATAATGTCAATGTTTTGCAAAGAAATGAAAGAGGAAAAAATGAGGAATGAAAGAAAAACATTTTCAATGACACACATGTGAAAACACCTGAAGCAGAAAGAAAGAAAGAAAGAAAGAACGAAAGAAAGAAAGAAGAATTGGTAGAAACAATGCAATCAGAAAGAAATAAAAAAGAAAGACTATAGAAAGTTAGAAATGAAAAAGAAAACATGCGTAAGAAATTGAAGAAAAGTTGAAAGAAAGAAAGAAATGTCCGGAATTACGTAATAAATAAATAAAATAGAAAATAAAATAAAAGAAAAGAAAAGAAAAGAAAAGAAAAAAGAAAGAAAGAAAGAAAGAAAGAAAGAAAGAAAGAAAGACCCGGAATTGAGTTAAAAGAAAGAAAGAAAGCAATAATAAATAAAACACACCTGAAAAAAAGATGGAAGGAGTAAAATCCGAAAGAATGAAAAAAAGTAATACTTTAATTGTTAAAGAGAAAAAGAAATGAAAGTAGAAAAAGATGAATGAAAGACAAGTAAACGTCGATACAACGAAAGAAAAGAAACTAGTAGCCCGCCAAAACACGTAAGATGAAAATAAGTATCAGTGAAAATCAGAAAGATGAAACTGTAGAGAGGAAAGACAAGATGACAGAAGAAATGAAAAACTCCGATCTTGAAGCCAAAATGAAGAAAAGAGAAAGCCAATAAAATGGGAATGAATGAAAAAGAAAGAAATTAAGAAGGAAATATTGAATGAAAAAAAATGATAATATCAAATGAAGTGTATCACAATAGAAATATACCATTACATTCTTTATCTTTTAGTAAAACATCTCCGGATTATTATTATTATTATTATTATTATTAATATTATTATTATTTCTTTTTTGCTTGGCGGGCATAAGTACAAGATAAACCGTTTATCAAGGAATTCTTCTTTCCTTTGAAAGATCTTAATTAAAATCTAAAATTGTAATTTCGAAAAGCAGCACTCCCTACAGCTTGTGATCGATCCACAATTAAACCCAAACGTATAACTTAAATCCAAAATTAACCGATCGAATATCTGATGTATCTTTGATTGGGTATTTTTTTATTATTATTATTATTATTATTAATTTTCGTTTTCTTTTTCGTCTTTTGGTTTTGTGTTCATTGTTTTACATTTTAATTTCTATAAAAGGCACGACAACTAAAGAAAGATGGCAAATATTTCTTTCGTTCATTCGTTTCTTCCTTCATTCACTTACGTTTTGAAAGTAAATGAATTAGACTTGCGGAGCTTTTGTCTATTAAAATTAATTAATTAAAGGAGTTTAAGATTTATAGGAGAATGTGAACTCATTAAACTTTAACCTTTTTTCTTATTTGTTCTTCAATTTCAGGTTTAGAAGCGTGCCGCCATAATGGATTTAATATCTGGAAAACTAAGGTACAAAATAAGTGCGTAGTTTCAAGTTGTGATATATTTATACAGCATTTCCGCCAGTGGTCCTTTATAAAATCAATATCCTATATATATATATATATATATATATATATATATATATATATATATATATATATAGATATATATATAGACAGTGCTGTTAGATAAAAGTGATACACCTGATTTTTTTACTCAATGTTCTCTTCTCCGATGAAACGAAAGTTGAGCTAAATTCAAAGGATAAGCGATCTAAAATCTGAAGAAGAAGCTTCGAAAGCTCTTTGAATTTAGCAGTAAGTACTGTCAAACATCCGTTCAGTATAATGTTCTGGGAATGCTTTTCTTGTCATGGAACTAGTTTCTTAAAACCTATTGAAAAGACCCTCATGAACGAACAGTACAAGAGAATTTTAGAGTCTTGTCTGCTCCCTTCTGCTGAAAGGGTGCAAATCGATCCCACTAAGCTCATTTTTATGCAGGATAATGTTCCCTGTCACAAATCAAAATTGATCAAGGAATACTTTGATGAGAAGCAGGTGAGTGATATGACATGGCCGCCCCAATCTCCTGATCTCAACCCCATAGAAAACCTATGGAGCATCATAAAGTACAGGCACTCGAGAAATCAGTAGAGCAACGAGGAGAACGAATAGAGTACAATTCCAACGTTCAACGTAACATTTAATTTCAAAAAGTGCTCAATATAGAGTAGAGCAATATTATTTATTTTAGGATATTACACCGACAATATGACAAAATCGCTACACAATTGCACTCGTCTTTAAATGGATATCAATGCATCTCATCAGGTGATTGTAAATTACTGGCGAGTGAACGATGTGTTTAGATTTAAAAGCAAATTACAATCAAAGATGGGTTATAAATTTTGACGACTTATCACTGATCAACCAGATATGACCTACATAAAATTTAAACTAAGCGGAGAAGGAAGAAAATTATAAATGGGTCATGACCGGTAGACTGAAATTTAACAGTAGCCAGACGTAAACTTAAAGCGGATACATATGGTTACATAAAATTCACAAGCCAGACAATGCAGTTCCCTAAGTTACTAAGATGTTGTATTTTGCTTTTACATCTCAATAAATCGTTCACTCCCCAGTAACTTACAATCTTCTGATGAGATAGATTGATATGCATTGAAATACGACGACAGTTGTGTAGCGATTTTATGTTTTCGATGTTATATATATATATATATATATATATATATATATATATATATATTATTCGGACTAATGTCCTCATCTTTGTCGCCATATTTATCACAAGGTTTCGGCCGTTGTACGCTCCGGCCTTCTTCAGGTGGTTGGAATTTCTAACTGAACCCTTTATTTCGCTCACTGGGGTAGACTGTTCTGGTTCCCTGTTCTAGTTCCACGTGCCATGTTTTTGATGGATGTCAGTTATTAGTTATCTCCTGCTAAATTCCCTCACACTCTTTGGGTCCTGTCACTGGATCTAACTAACGCCTTTATCCACTGTGCCACGTGTCTTTGAGGACATCTGGGTATGAATTTCTGGGTATTATAAACCTAATTTCTTCAGCAACCATTTTTACCAGTGCTCATATTGAAATTTTGCTGTTTTCATTCCATGTTTTTTACCAGAGCTCATATTGCAACTTTGTTGTTATCATTTCTTTCTCTGACACTCCCACTGGTTCCCATATTGTATTTATTTCTATGCTTGGTCGGCTCAGGAGATTTTTGTGGCCTAGCATATGTGCTGATTCCTTAAGTTTACGAATTTTCCAATGGTGTTCCTTGTCTATGATCTCAACATGATCCCACATCTTGGTATGAATTTCTGGGTATTATAAACCTAATGTCTTCAGCAACCATTATATATATATATATATATATATATATATATATATATATATATAAAAGAGAAAGAACAGTGTGATATATAATCCGGTGTTCTTATTAATTATTCTTTATTTTTACAAAACAGTGCTTAATGCAAATCTACAGAGCATGAATATTATAATTTTACAAATTGAAAAGTTTAAATTTACCGGCGAAACAAAATTGCCGAAAACCTTTTTGTCGTTGATAAAGATTAGACGACATGCGTTGAAAAGATGTCATCATTTGTTGAAAAAGGGACTCTTACCCTAACTTAACTTAACCTCTTTTCGAAAGTAACTCATAGTTTTGATACAATACAATACTGAAAATGAATACCGTTGTCAAAATGATTGAATTTTCCCGGATCCTTTGAAACTAATATTTTGACTGTGCATATAAATCTCACTAAATTTCAAAACAAGTTATTCCAAAATTCGCTTGACAATAAAACAGGACTAGGAATTTTAACTTAATTCTATAATTGAATTTGAAGTTTTTAGTTTCTGTTTTTGAAACATGGTAATTGCTGTGTAGCGATAGAACGATATTTTAAATTAGTAAAATTATAATATATATATATATACTCAATAGATATTGTGTACGTAGGCATATCTAAATTTATTACAGATTTCGATTTTTCAATTTCGTATCGATTTTTATCAAATACGTTGCAACTATATATATGGGCAATTCTACCTGGTGTAATGGTTAACAAGCTTGTATCTCTATATCAATTACTATCGTATAGTGCTCTTGATCCTCACTGGGTGTTCCATTCTTTCAGCCTTAAGCCACATCTCAGCCAAACTTAAAAAGCCCTTGAGTACTCCTATGTGGTGTAATGGTTAGCTAACTTCTCTCCATATATCAATTACGACTGATGAATGACATCTATCCTCACTGGGTGCCCCATACATTCAGTTCCGTGCCACAAGCTTTACTAAGTAAATCACTATTTCAATTATTTGTCTATATCAAATACACACACACACACACACACACACACACACACACACACACACACACACATATATATATATATATATATATATATATATATATATAATGTAAATTGAGAGAGCGTAATTATTATAAATTAACTGATTTAAAATATGGTTTCTTCGCTACACATGAATTACCATGTTTCAAAAGCCCAAGCTAAAACTTCAAATTTAATTATATAATTAAATTAAAATAAAACTAATGCATTTAATTTAGAACTAATGTTTTTTTTTTTATTTATATAATTAAATTTGAAGTTTTTTGCTTCGGATATCAGCACGTAAGTAAATGCAATGGATTCGACTGGAATTCGATCTCGGATCTCCGGTTTCTCAGTCCAAGCCGCGATCCATTACTCTACCGAGCCTCCTCATTTCGCATGGTTTATATTTTCTTGCAAAAATTCCATATCTACAACGGATAAACCTTAAAATAATCATAACAGAGCGCGCTCACGCGTGTTTTTTTTTTTAATTACCATCTAACAAAATGCAGATTTTATCGCAGTTCCAGTAAGTTTTTCTTCATATCTGCTGATACATCCTGTTTATAGATAAAATATTTAAGTAAACATAAAAATGTCTTAAAATAATTGTCGGACTTTCTCCATTTCATAATGTATGATGTCATATGTTTACCTTTGGATACGCCATGAGCAGATATGAACGTACGTGAAGGAATCATGGAAGATTGTAATTTAAAGACAGTTAAATCGACCTTACCAAACGCTCCTCAGTAGCCGAACCGGTTAAAGACACGTCAGGCTATATGACTGTTCTGTATAGGATACAGGTTCGATTCCTGTCGGAGGACGAATATTTTCTATGAAAATTCCTCGGACATTCAGGCCGGTAAATGTTGTTTAATACTGTTTATTATAAACAGAGCATTTACTTAAATATTTGTATCTAAAAAAAGAATACCCGCTCGGCCCGGTGGCTAGGATCAAAGTGTAGTATCTGCGCTTTGTGAGCTGCCGAGCCGGGTGTCTGTCGAACTCTCTGCTTGCAGAGAGGAACCCGGACGAAGCTCCGCCGAAGGGTGGGGTTTCGTTCGGGGAGGTTGACGGAACTAGCCCGCTTGGTCGGGTTTAGATGGGTTTTATTTTTGGCTGGGCCTACGGGCTCGGACATACCCACATTAAAAGGCCTTGTGCCACATTCAATTCCTGGGGTGAATTGATAAATACCATCTAAAAAAGAATACCCGCTCGGCCCGGTGGCTCTGATCAAAGTGTAGTATCTGTGCTTTGTGAGCTGCCGGGCCGGGTGTCTGTCGAACTCTCTGCTTGCAGAGAAACCCGGACAAGCTCCGCCGAAGGTGGGGTTTCGTTCAGGGGAGGATTGACAAACCCTCCCGCTTGGTCCTGGTTTAGATGGGTTTATTTTTGGCTGGGCCTGCGGCTCCAGACATACCCACGTAAAAAGGCCTTGTGCCACATTCAATTCCTGTGGGTGAATTGATAAATACCATCTAAAAAAGAATACCCGCTCGGCGGTGGCTGGGATCAAAGTGTAGTATCTGTGCTTTGTGAGCTGCCGAGCCGGGTGTCTGTCGAACTCTCTGCTTGCAGAGAGGAACCTGGACGAGCTCCGCCGAAGGGTGGGGTTTCGTTCGGGGAGGTTGACGGAACTAGCCCGCTTGGACGGGTTTAGATGGGTTTTATTTTTGGCTGGGCCTACGGGCTCGGACATACCCACATTAAAAATAATTGTGCCACATTCAATTCCTGTGGGTGAATTGATAAATACCATCTAAAAAAGAATACCCGCTCGGCCCGGTGGCTAGGATCAAAGTTTATCTGTTCCGAGCCGGGTGTCTGTCGAACTCTCTGCTTGCAGAAACCCAGACGAATCTCCGCCGAAGGGTGGGGTTTCGTTCAGGGAGTTGACAACTAGCCCGCTTGGACCAGGTTTCGATGGGTTTATTTTGGCTGGGCCTACAGGCTCAGACATACCCATATTAAAAGGCCTTGTGCCACATTCAATTCCTGTGGGTGAATTGATAAATACCATCTATAAAAAGTACTTATATACATAAAAATGTCTTTATATGTATACATATATACATATACACACACACACACATATATATATATATATATATAGAGAGAGAGAGAGAGAGTGAGATAAGAATGTGTGTTTATGTGAAAGCCTTTGTATTGTAATTATATAT